TACATATTATATATTTAATTAATTAATTAATTACTGCCTCTCTATACAGTGAAGTGTGAATGAAATAGGGCTGCAAAACAACAAATCAATCTGATTATCGATTAATCTGCGGATTGTTTTCTAGGTTAATCGATTAATCATTTGGTCTACACAATGTCAGAAAATAGTGAAACATGTCCATCCCAGTTTGTTAGGAGTCCAAGGGGATGTCTTTAAATGTGTTAATATGTATATAATATCAAATAAAAAACAGAAAAGCAGGAACTCTCCATATTAGAGAGGCTGAAAACAGCATTTTCTGCCATTTTTTCGCATGAAAAATACAATAATCTTACATTTTTTTCAACGAATCAATGCAGCTTTAGAATGAAGGAATACATAGAGTAGAGTTGGCTTAGGGTTCTTGTACCCTTTGTATATAAAATAAATATAAATTTATTTCACTTTTCAGTAAAGTAAAACTCTTGTTTCCGTCACATCAAATCAGAGACATGTGAACAAGCAACTTGTAGTATGTGCTATGCAGCAGTTGGAAATACATTTTACGATGTTCTGTATTTTTCCTGTTTTACAACTTGTTTTTATATAAATACAGTCGAAATCTGTTTCTTAATTTGCTTTTATTACTTGTTGAAGAAGAAATCCAAGAACAAAGTGCTCTCGCTCCTTTATTACCTCAATGACTGGATGCATTATAGTGGAACAATTAAAACTATTTACAATAAATTGTGACACTGTCAACATGTGACAATAAAGTGAACATAAATCTCAGCTGGATGTTCCTTTTAAAGCATTGCAGGCTACAGTTATTCAGGAGATGCACACAGAAGGAGCAACACGGCAAAGCAAGACTGTTACCACATGTGACCTGGACGCTGTGCACAAATAAGGACTTCATAACATCAGTTTTCCAGAGTTTATGACTTTTGTTTCTCACCCAGGTGGACCCCAAACCTGGCTACCTCTCATAATACAATGTGTTAGCAGAGGATACTTGCTAGCTATTTGTTATATTTGTTCTACGGACTCATAATGGGATTCCTCTTCAGTAAATAAAGGGATGTTATTGGGTATAGAGACACACACACACACACACACACACTGTACAAACAAGCATTAGGGTGCAGTCAGGTGAATAGAATGAATACAGTAGTTATTTCCAAAAATCCTGAAGCCATTATCTGATGACTCCTCTACATAAAAGCTGATAAAAGCTCCCTTCTAACTCTCTGTGCCGAGTCTTTCTGTCACATTTAACTCCAAAGAAAACAACAGCAGCTCTGATTCAACGACTACAAAACGTGAAATGCAGTGAACACCTTTAGGTCTCCATGCCTCGGCAAGAAATGAAACACCACATCTCTAATGTGTGTTGTTCTGATGAGCCATGAGTTGTTAAAAAGTGTCCTGATATGATTAACTACATTCTATTCAGTGGCGTCGTCGAGGAGCAGATTGTTATTTGGGTTAAATAGGTCGGCTGATCGGTGGGTAATAATTACCACTAAGCTACGTAACAACCAGGTTATAATGACGCTGATGACACATTGTTTTAACTTAATTAGGGAGAGCATTCAGTTAACTCTCTCCATGACACACGTCTGTAATAGAACTGTATAATTATAAGCATTCATAAATATTCATAATGATTTATAACAATAATCACAACACATTTCATAACGACTTATACGGTCAAGTGTCGTAAAACTTCACAATTGCATAATTATTTAAGTATGCAAGTATCAGTGTATTTGAATTCTCATAGTTATAATACATTATGATGTCATTATTTATGGTCATTGTTTGTTTTAAGTGAAAGAAATATCATGAAATCTATGCAAGAACACACAAAACCTAATTATTATAATTATAAAACAGTGATAATAATGCATTATAAAAAGATTATGTTTTATTGTTGTTATTACTATATTATGTACTCTTATAATAACATAATTATATTAGTAAAAATGTATGTTACGTTTTATGCATTGTTCTTGCATAGATTCAATATTTTCTTCACTTTTCTTAAAGTAAACAATGACCACTTAGAGTAAATTAAACATCACATTATATTGTGGTTATGAAAACATAATGTATTACATTTATTTACAATTAAAATACACTATGATCCTTGAAAAATGCTTGTGAAGTATTATGATTTAGTAAGTATTATTAGGTCATTATAAAATGCTGTATGTGTTATGATTATTGTAATAAATCATTATGAATACTTATTAGTGCTTATAACTATAATCATACAGTGCTATAAGCAGATTATAATGCTTTACAAGTATGTTTATGATGCATTATAGACATGAGCGTCACAGAAAGTGTCACCACGGTGGTTTGCAGTGAAATACGAGCATGTGGGTGCAGATCACCCGATCCGGTTTGGAAATGAGAAGGAAGGCACAGGGAGAGAGCAGACAGGTCAGGTCCTCGACTCTGAACCTGCAGCTGACAGTACGACTGACAGTTTTGGTGATGGCAAGGAAGGAAGGAAGGAATGAAGGAAGGAAGGAAGGAAGGAAGGGCAGCGGCCAGCGCTAAGTCTTTGCTCTAGCAGCAGTGGGACAGTGCTTAAATGACATGAGAGGAAAAACTAGTACAGCTAACGTGTTCCCGACAATCACAACAGCCAGAGTCGTATATCGGAAGAGTTCTGTCACTGATGACTCACTTGTTCCCAGAAAAACCATTTACGCAACACAGAGATTGGAACAGGCTGAGCCATCAAACTCCGGTGATGTAACTCTTTGATACGATATGGCTTGGACCGCGAGAGGAGGTGTTCTGCGGCGGCGGCGGCGGCGGTGGCGGTGAATGTGGTTCGAAGCAGAGCTGGGAGGCGTCCAGCTGTTCTCTAGGTGAGGCTGGCGTTGGAGCTGCTGGTGCCGCTGTTCTTCCTCTGGCCGCTCTGCACGGCGCTGGGAACCTGCAGGCCCGTCACTACCGAAAAACTGCCGTTCCACACCTGCAGGGGAAGCACCACATCAACAGGCGGTTGAAAAAACAAAAAGGGCACGGGGACAATAGAGCATTCTTTTAGATAACAGGGGTATTTATAGATGTCAGAAGGACGTTTCTCACCATGAAAGCTGGTAGAACTGGCTGCTGGAACTTGGTTTTGAAAGTGTGCATCAGCTGTTTAGTTTTGGAGTCGTAGAAAGACAGAACACCTGGAGAGAATGAAGACATGTTTATTTTAAAAAGTAGGGCTACAACTAACATGTTTTCATCGTTGGTTAATCTGTCAGTTATTTATTTTTTTAAATAATAAATTCAACTTTTAGTTTTTAAACTGTCAAAATACTTTGAAGAAAGTCCATTACAAGTGCTCAGAGTCAAACAGTCCAAACACAGACTCACTAACTGAATATAGACCACAACATATAAACCGTGTATTTGCAACATGCATTTTATTTTGCGGGGGAGAAGTTCTCAACAGTGATTCTCTCTGTGATCATTCGAACAGTGCTAAGTACGTGTTTATGGTACCTTCGTCATAGTTGACATAGACCCCTATTCTGTTTGGGATGGCACAGTCCAGTGCTCGAGCCTTGTTGTTGTGCTTTGCTGTGAGGCTCTGCTGCAGCCAGTTGTTCAGATGGATGCACCAGGAAGCGCTGCTTTTCCCCAGCTGGTCGAATCGTCCGAGGCTCCGCAGGGCGACGCCCACGGCGAAGGCCTTGCTCTCCTTGTCGAACCGCACCTCCCAGTACTGCTGGCCAGCGTCGATCATCGTGTCGGCTGTCTCGACACATAAACCCAGATTATTCATTTCTAGACTTACAGCGTCAGCACTTTCCGTAGGTTGAGATACATGTTTTGTTTTGCAAGTAAATCTAAACCCAACACTGGCTCTAGATAGGGAGGCTTTTGTGTTTTTTACGTTACCTGAAGGCCACTGTAGTTCTCCGACATGGTATTCAATCTACAACCTCACCACTAGATGCCACTAAATCCAACACACTGTTCCTTTAAATGTGGATAAATATTATGAATGCAAACAATTATCTCTCCCGATCTATTCAGGAGCTTAACATACATCTTGGAAGCCCGGCAGGCTAGCTAACTAGCTTACCTGGGTAGCTACAGGCTGGTGTAGCAAGGCAAGCTAGGCTAATACGCTAGCCTACAAACTCATTAAGGCTCGAGGCATATTTTTCATGCATTGCAGTGTACAAAGTACAAAGGGGTTTTCACTGAGCAGTGAATGTTACTCAGCTGTTAACTCTCTAGTTATTTAGTTCCACGAGTTACAACTCCAGTCTGGTGTGTTTCAACTGTTCGAGATGTAGAAATGCAACGCTGTTGTGTGTTTACAGTGTGTACTCTCACCCAGCACTGTGTAGGACTCCGCTGTAAACCTGTCCCTGCCGGGCCGGGCTGTCGGCGCTCTCTTAGGTGACATCAAAGCTGACCTGATGAGACAGACGAACAAACACTCAAAGATTAATATTTTTTTAGATGTATTCTAAAGGACAGTAAGTTCATGACCACATGGCCTTATGAGGGTTTTTATAGTAAAATATTCCTGCAGATTAAATTCACACACACCTGGCTGGGGAGTGCATCGGGGAGTTGGTTCGCGTCTTTTCCTTGCGGATGTCCTGTATCTTTCCTCCACAGCTGTCCCACTCCACGCTCAAGTCCTCCACCTTCAGGTTCTGGTGGCACGAACCAGCATCCAGTTTGAAGGTGAACGCTGCAAATGGAAAATGAGTCAGCCATCCAATATTCACCTTCACAAATTCACATTTGTTTCCTTTCCTATGCTTTCCCACACCTTAGACACACAAACACAAACACACACACACACACACACACACACACACACACACACACACACACAGATCCTCACCCACTGACAAATGTTGATAATTGGCCTGTATTCACTGTTATTGTCGTCCTCTTGTTGTTCAGTTAATGTCTTGTCTTTTGTCTTGCAATTTAAATAAATAAATAAATAAAAAACAAAATAAAACCTAGTTTGTGTTTTTCTCACCGTGGGTTTCTAGCGTGACCGGCTCAGAGAACTCTCCTGCCACGGCTTTGTTACACGCTTTCACTCTGAACGTGATGTACCGGGTGTCAAAGCGGAGACCTGAGAACAAAAAAAGAATCCCGTTATGAGTCAGACTGGTCACAGTTCAGACGACAAAAACACACAACCCTCCGTCCTACCGGTGAGTGTGTGCTCCAGCTCTCGTATCCCCTCCACCACCATCCAGGGGTAGTCCTCTCTGATGCGCGGCGGACCCTCGTGGTTCGTGCGTCGGTGCTCCAGTATGTAGTGGTCTATCTTGTTGTCGGGCTCCGGTAAGGTCCAGACTACAGTCACCGTGTTGTCGCACACCTGGGACTCTGAGACCTGGATCTCAGGAGTGGCGGGAACTGGAGAGCAGACACAGTTTGTTAGAAGGATTATCAAAGAATCCACTTCCTCTACCTCTTCTTCAACACTTGATATTTCACAACAGAAACTAATGAGCGAAACTTGAAAAATAAAGACACATGAGCAGATTTTAAATGATTATTTAAACACATTAAACGTTGATAAAGAGCTGTCACATGGGAACAAAGTCACCGCTGAATTAATAGACTTTTGCCACTTGGGGGCAGAATTACCCCAAAACTAGCTGACAGGTACACAACCATTGTTGAAAGATCAAATTTGACAGTTTCCAGCCCAATCACAATTTAAAACCTTAAAACCCGCCCACTTTAATAAAAACAAACCAAATCATAACCTTGCCACAAACCTGTGCAAAACCATAAAACCCTTACAGAAAACACATTGTAAGCACACAAATCTGCTTCAAGTAACCGAAGATAAAATGTTTCATAAATAAGATTTCGGAACCCACAGAGAGTGCAGTCAGACAATCAACGACACAAAACGCCATTTCTATGTCAAAGTTGATGACGTCAAGGTAAGTAGCTCCTCAACGACAATAGAATAAAACAATCAAACAGTTCTTAAATTGAGTGGACACAACCAAGTTTACTGAGTTTTGTATTTGTGTTTTTGACCATAAAAACAGCTTGTTTGGTCATTTTGTTTTCACAATATTTTCAGAACCACCAAATGTTGACAAAAGCAGCCCAAATTAATCAAAAGCAGGCCAAATTAATCAAAAGCAGGCCAATGGCGGAAACCTGGCAACACTGTACACTACCTATCATACACTTTAGCTAACGCGTTGTAAATGTACACATCAATCAGGCACGTAGCAACATTATTATTCATTTGGAGTAATGTTTTCGTCCACCTGATGAAGTTTAGTCTAGAACATCCGTCTCCTTGTCTACTAAATGTTCAACTATGATCAGCAGCTAACCACTACCTAACAAACAGGTGGTGTACAGTAACTACGTGGGCTGTCAAACCACACCAGTGCATTAAAAGAGGTTAAAGAGCCTCACACAGCTGCACAGTTGGGTGATAGTTCTCTGCGGTTTCATCGCTGTGAGCGGCATTACGTGTAGGCATTTGGCTCGATTATAAAATTATGATAACTGGGGCATTTTGAATCCAATGCAAAACGCGGCTTGTTTGACACAGAGACGTTGTTTTGCTCCGATTAGACTATGGTTTATCAAAGTCAAAGACACTTGTCTTGTCTGTAACATTGATGTTCATGTTTTAATGTATTTCATGTGTCTTTTGTATCTGCCATTAAGAAAACCGAGATCAAAATTTGCCACGATGGCTAAACTGGTACATGTGCAGAAATGTCTATTAGTGTGCATTTCCCCTGTAACTTTAAACTGTATAAATAAATACATCAAAGACCCAGACTGTGTTTAACTGAGGCAAAAGTTAAGGCTTGTGTTGTTACTTCTGATTTATTTCTACTGATTCGTCCACATCAGACAACATTAACCAGCGTGTGTTGACTTCTCTTTTTGTACTCTAGTTGCAAATATCAATATGAATGTTAAGTATCCAAAGTTAAAATGTTGTACAATGCCTGTAGCGATACCGGTACCCTTAAAGTGATGCTGATACCAATAGAGTACTTCATTTGATTTGTTAACCATCATGTCAATGGAGGCATTCGGTTGTGTAAAATGCCACCACCGCTACATTTAGTTTAATCTGATGCCACGGCGTGTAGTACAGCTGTACTTTTTAACGTTTTGGTGGGATCTCTGCGACGCTGAACTGACAACTCCGTCAAATAGTCAAATTATAATTTGTAATGTGCAAAAACCCTCTCATTAAAATACAATTCTGGCTTTAATTAGGTCCTAAAAAACTTATTTTGTATTATTTTTATTCTGAAAACAAGTGAAAAAATATGTTACTTCATTAAGAAGAGTTGTTTTTCATTGAAATGAACTCGTCCAAAGAACTGATTGTATCTTGAAACATGAAAGTATGAGGCGTATCGAATTACAATTGTAATATCTGAAACAAATTGATTTGCATGGAAAAGAGGCTGTATACTTTTACTGCAATGGTGAACTTTTTTACATGTTTTCGGACAAAAATTACTTGATAATTATTTTATTTTTTTAATAATTAGTGAAGTAACTACTAAATACAGCTGTTAAATAAATGTAGCGGAGCCAAAAGTGCCATCACTCCCTCTGGTTATAGTGGAGTAGAAGTATAAAGCAGCATGAAACTGGAGTCAATTACTGGTGTGAGTGATACTTAGTTAGATTACATCACCGCTGCGGTATCTGTATTTGTTGGGAGTAAAACCTGCAGACCTGGGAGAAACTTGAGGCCCTGCAACACCTCCCTCTCCTGGCTGAAATCCACCATCAAGTGACTCATGTTGTCACTGGCTTTGGCCTTCAGGGAGAGGCGAAAGGCTGGAGCCATTGTCACGCTGCGGACAAAGAGAGACACACACACAAACACACGAGCACACGGAGTGGAAACAAGCGTTGTCCATTATTCAAACGGATCAAAGAGGCGAAAAACAAGGTGATTCTAACGCTGCTCGCTAAGGAAAGGCCCACTAACTAGACTGTCAGGTTCTACCACTGAACTCATCAACCTAATCAAGGTTTAAAAGCGGAGCTAGAGAGGGAGTTCATCCAGGGAGGAGGAGGAGGAGGAGGAGGAGGAGGAGGAGGACTGACACAGGATGGTACAGACTAGAGAAGACAGTGGGAAACACGACGACAAAAGGCTCTTGAGTGGAAAGTTTTCCATACGGCTTATTGTCTATGAAATGGGTGCGGTCGCTACATGTTTTGAATGCATGCACGCTACATTATGAGATGGCTCAGTGGTTAACAGGAGGCTATGAGGGAAAAAGGGGAAGCAATGGATGGCAGAGTACCATACCTATCCTTAATGTCTTTGGCCGCCTGGAGAGGAGAAGCAGAGAGGGGGGGGGGGGGGGGGGGGGGGGG